ATGCCAATATGGTTTCTGAACGTTATGTTACTTACACTTTTTCATCTCCAAACTTGCCATGAAATTGAAGAAGAAATCAACATATCTCAATTCCCAAATGGTTTTCTCTTTGGAACAAGCACTTCCTCTTACCAGGTACTTTTACTTCAACCTCTTTCTTCCTTGTTCTCAAATATTTCATTTTTCTTGTTTCTGTTAATGTTTTTTCATAATAGATTGAAGGAGCAGCGTTTGAAGATGGTAAAGGTTTAAGCAACTGGGATGTATTCAGTCACACACCAGGTTAATTTACTTAATTTAATAGTAATTACTATACAATTGCAATATCATTTGTACTCTTTGTAAAAGATCTTGTGCCTCTGTTAATGGCGCAACTTATTGTCTGTTTGCCTGTATAAACTTTATTATATATGAATACAGTTTGTTAAATTTTCAGGGATGGTAAACAATGATGAGAATGGTGATGTAGCAATTGACCATTATCATCACTATTTGGTAATGATTATAGTGTTAATAACAATATGATGATATTAGATTCATAATTTACTTGCCTTTTCTAAAGTCTGAATCATTGTTTTTGATAGGAAGACATTAAATTGATGTCATCTCTTGGGGTAAATGTATATAGATTTTCAATTTCTTGGACTAGGATTCTACCTAGTAAGTATTCCCAAATTCACTTTAACTAGTTCCCACGATTTTATATTTCTAACTCATGACCTGTAACAGATGGGTTATATGGAGACATAAATCCAATTGGGGTTATGTTTTACAACAATCTTATTGATAATCTGCTACTTAGAGGTGAGTAACAATCCTCAATTAGTTATTTGTATTTGGAAATGGGAATTTATTTCGATTTTAGTCATCAATTTCAGTCTTGGTTTGTGCCAAATGCTAAAAATGCATATGGTTTTATTGTCAATAGACATCATTATGCTTATATTTTCATCAGCAGCAAATTTGATTGGTAGCATCCGATCGTCTAGTGTCTGACATTTCTCAACCAGTGTCGTCTTTGAGGGTGTGCAAGGCGGTCTACACCACAGGACCTCACACTTTTTTCATGATTAAGCTATGGCAAAAAGGGCCGTCATACACATATTCCACGATTAATTTATGGTTAAATAGGTGCGCTTAAGAAAATTCACGACTCAACTGAAGTTAACCCCAGCTTCTTACACAGGGCCTCTCAAAAGTTTGAGATGGCTCTAATCTCAATGTCTTATGCCAACTCGACATTGATCCATGTGATTATGTTTAATTATTATATTCTCTCAGCTTATTATCGATGTTAATATGTGAGTGTTGTGTCATTTCAGTGCAATATCTTTTGTAACGGATAGTTGTTTTCATTTATTTACGACGGTGCTTAGTTATACCTAAATCTGGACATAACTTGCTTGATCTAGGAATTGAGCCATTTGTGACAATTCACCATCACGACTTGCCACATGAGCTGGAAGAAAGATACGGTGGTTGGCTCAGTCCCCTGATTCAGTAAATCCACTGCTCTCACTTTCTGTCAAAAGAATTATGCAATGCTAAAGAATTTGAAAGTTTGTAGAATGATTGAGATTTTGATAGCTGTATACTTGGTTTTTTCAGGAGAGATTTTGTTCATTTTGCTGAAATTTGTTTTCAAAGTTTTGGAGATAGGGTTAAGCATTGGGTTACCATCAACGAGCCAAACTTGGTTGCAGACTTTGCCTTTATTAGGGGAACATACCCTCCTTCTCACTGTTCCCCTCCTTTTGGAAACTGTGATACCGGTAACTCTGATGTTGAGCCTCTCCTTGTCATGCACAATATGTTGCTGTCGCATGCTAAGGCTGTTGAATTATACCACAAGCACTATCAGGTAAGAACATTTATTTTGAAACATTTTCTCTAAAGCACGAGTTATTTTATAATGGAGGGAGAGAAATGAATTGTTTAACTAGGAAGTGATGACCCGATGCAGGTAAATCAAGGTGGAACCATTGGCGTTGTTGTACATACCTTCATGTACGAACCTCTCAGAGATGAAGAATGTGATAGACAGGCTGTAAGTAGGGCCTTGACTTTTGTGGTAGACTGGTAAGCCATTAAGAAACAGCGGAAAATGCTTCTGGTTTATTAAAAAAACTCTTTTCAGCACACACTTTTCTATAGGTTGAAATTTGATTATGTCTCAATATTTTGGGAATGAATCCTTCTAAATCACTACGGCCTCGCATAAATTTGATGGGATCTGTTTGAATTTTAACTAATAAGAGAGGGTGTTGGGAAAGAAAGTGTGTTACTACTTACTAGAGTTTCTTACATTATTAGTTCCTTCATTCTTTTTAGTAACTTTTCTTGATCTTATGATGGCAAAGAAGGTTACTGAATCCCCTAGTTTTTGGCGAGTACCCTGCTGAGATGCGCTCTATTCTGGGGAACCAGTTGCCGAGGTTTTCTCCAAAGGAAAAGAGTCTCCTAAGAGGAAGCTTGGACTTCATTGGCATCAATAACTATGGAGCTCTCTATGCCAAGGATTGCTTTCTCTCTACTTGTCCTCTCAATTCTTCTCGACCAATACGAGGCTTTCTGGAAACAACTGGAATGAGAGATGGCATTCCGATTGGTGGTCAGGTACTCATATGTAGTCCAGCTTTTCTTATTATTGCTTACAACTTGTCACTAATTTTCCATTGAATGTTTGATAACAGATTTTTTTTAAAGATTAAGGAATGAATACAAATTATTTATTAAAATGGGGGGTTTGGTTCATCCTTGATTGCTATGGATCAAAAAACATATGAACTCATTGGCCCGGATTCTCTGATGTTTTTTCGTCTCATGGTTGGTTGAAAATTGAGACCTTTAAAGGATGAGGATTTCCTCCAGTTATAAGCATATGTTCAAGCCATATATTGTCTGATGTGAAACTCTTAACAACATTGGTGACCATTTTACAAGATCTGAACTTCATCCGTTAAAATTACAAAATCAAACTCTTACCAGAGCCAGATACATTGTGAACAATTGTATGATCGAGGATTAGGTATGGTCTAGTGAACCTAAACAGTTTGTATGGTTTCTTTTGTTTTGAGCAGACAGGAAATCCAAGATTCTTTGTGGTTCCAAAGGGCATTGAGAAGATTGTAGACTATATAAAGATTAAATACCATAACATGCCCATGTATATCACAGAAAATGGTATGTGAATACTAAATACTGAATAGAATTAAATGATCTCATTTTTCCATTATGTTAATATAATACCAAACACTTCAATTTGGGTTTGGAAGTATATGTTGGTTCATATATCATGTTTTATTATACAAAATTCGTTGCAGGATATTCTTCGCCACTCAACCAAACTATGACAGTGCATGACATATTACACGATTTCAAACGGATAGAGTATCATAAAGCTTACCTTGCAGCTTTGCTTAGAGCCATAAGGTAAGTGATCATGATAATGATGATTATGAGCAACTTCGTTTTTTATTTTTTTGTATGAATGTTTCGAGTTACTTGGTTGACTATGGATAACTTTATTACGTACAGAAAAGGCGCAGATGTAAGAGGATACATGATATGGTCATTGTTTGACAACTTTGAATGGAGTAGTGGATATAATATAAGATTTGGACTTTATTATGTCGATAGGAATACACTTGAAAGAATTCCCAAACTTTCTGTTCAATGGTTTTCTAATTTCCTCAATAGTACTAATGATAGCAACATAAAAGACTTGAACAAGAAGAATAGAAGCAAATATGTGACAACTGCTGTTGTCTAAGTTATTTGAAATTGATCATGTAATTCAATGTCAATATATATTGATGATTGTTAACATCATATTATTTATTATTTGGGAATTTTATGTGAAGCTTTAATTTCTAGCTTAATAAAATCACTGTCAAATTTTATCCGCTTCATGAATAGAACCTTGGTCAACTAATGTGTATACTTTTTTGGCATGTGTTAATATATATGATATTCTAAGTGTTTGTTTGTTTGTTTATGTTTTTGGAGTGGTGCAATTTAGAATGTAAAACAGCACTTGACAAAGTGTCCGTGGAAAACATGATTTTACCTGACATATGGTAGTAAGCAAAGTTGTTGATTCTCAGGCAAAGATTTTCTTGTTTGAAGAAACCCAAATATTGAGGGTTTTTTAAAATAAAAAATGTATTTGTATCGATGAGATATTGATAATTGTTATTATTTTACCAATATGACTACAATTAATAAATTTGTTTTTTTGATTATTTATTAATTTATGCACTTTTTGGTCTACTAGTTTGATGTTTTTAACTTTTAGTTTTCATTTTAAAAATTAATTTTTATCTCTCAACTTTATCTTTGAATTTTGTTGGTCCCTCTAGTTCTGCTTTCCGTAGGAATGATGGTTAGGAGAAAAAGTTTATTTTTAATGAGTTGACAATTATTATTAAAATAATTTATTATTTAATATTTTTTATTTAATAAATTAATTAAATTATTTTTTTAATAAATATATTTTGAAATTAATTTATATAAATTTTAATTAAGAATGAATAATTGTAATTGTTCTTAAAAAAATTAATTAATTAAAATTTTTAAATAAAACATTGTAGGCCTTAGGCCCATATTCTAACAGCATCCTTCAATTCATTAATTTAGGGTAGTAAATTTTGGAGAATGCATTTAAAATCAATTTTTAAAGTATTTTGAAAATGTATCTCCGAAGATCCCCCTATATTATTATTTGAACATTGAACTTAAATATTTAGTGGTATTTTCGGATATGCATATCCGAAAATATCTTAGTTGTATAAGTTTGTTGCATGATCACCTCTACCACTATTTCATTCTCTTCTTTCCCCCATAGCCAAAACCTACCACAAAACTTCAACCATTTCCAATCAAGTTTTCATCTCCAAACCAAGTTTCAAGTGTTTTATCATATCAAAGAGAGCATATAAAGTTGCAATTTAAGGTAAACTTTCCTCATTTAATCTCTCATTTCCTTGCATTGATGCTGAGTTTTAGATGAAAAAACAGCGTCACTTCAGATATGCATATCCGAAATCCACCTACTATATTTCGGATGTGCATATCTGAAACTGTCTGTTACAGAAACATAATTGTTTGAACAAATTTTATGTTTTTGCCCGTTTTAGATATGGTGCACGCCAACATGTTTCCCAAAGCTGTTGTATAGGTTCCGAACAAGGTGAATGACAATGTTAAGCCAGATGAGGTGAAGAACGATGTTAAAATGATTGTTGTCAAGATAGATGTTCATAAACAATTTACAAATGATCAAATTTTCAGTGCTCATCAATATATGTTTGAATGGGTCCGTATGGAAGCTAGCAAACTCGAGTTTGGTATTGTGATTGGAAGGTCCAACAATAGCACTAGTAGAAGACAAGCATTTGTAACGATGGTATGCGAGAGAAGTGGAAAATATGTTCCAAAAATTTGGAAGTTAAAACATGTAGACACCTGATAGAGAAAATGTGAGTGTTCGTTTAAATTGCGTGGATGCTGTAGGATGGATGATATCTGGCAGTTTAATGTTATTTCTGGTATACTTAATCATGCGTTGGTCACCAAGTGTTGGCTCCTGAATTCGACACTTACTATTGGTCTTTTAGACCAAAAATGGAATAAATAAGACCAAGCTGGAGAATGTTTCGACGTGTGAAATAACTTAGAGAAAATATCTAAGTTACATATTAGTCTTCGACCAGGACTCACTATCAAGATTTCGACTGAGAAGGTCTTATGACCTTCGACTAGAAGAAAATACCTTCGCGTTGACACCAAAGGCGAGGGACATTTGAATTTTGAATTATTGGGGGGAAAGACGGTTTCGCCAGCAGTTAAAGGAAAGCAACGTGGCTGGAAGCTAGAGGTCGAGGGACATGTAGAGGACACTTAACCTCATCTTAGAGCAGAACCATCCCTCGATGGTTACATAGTTTTTAGTATAAAATAGGAAATCTGTGTAGCTTTTCCGTGTGTTCAACCTATTGTGCTAGTTACTCAAATATTATCCAAGTACCCACTGTGTGAGAAAGGATAAACTGAGAAATGTACGTTGAAAACACCACTTTTCATTAATAAAGTCTTTTTACATTACTTTGATCTTATTTTGCAAAGTTACTTTTCCTGCATCTTTACCTGCATTTCTATTAACTTTCTTACTTTCCAAAACCACAAGTATCTTGTCTTTGGTCGAACGTGCGTTCTTCCTGGATTTCTTTTTATTTTACATCAACCCAGTATAAAAGTTAGCATATATTCTTGGATCAATCTGATTGATCCCGCGAGTAACCTGTAGGTGTTTAGGTATTGGCTTGCATTTTTGGTAAATCCCAAGTGTATGTGTGAATGTCATGACTGATGTCATAACATTCTAGTTCAGGTTGTACTAACTCAATAGGTACATGTGCAGAAAAATATTGTAATTCAAATACTGATGTTTATAAGTGTGTATCTGAGCATGTTTGCAAAATGATCACATTTTGCTAAATCAGTAGACAGGTTTTCTCAGATGTCATAACAGATGTTATGACATCCTGTTCTGAACTAACAGGATTGCAGGATTGGATAAGTCTGAGTTTTTTCAGGAAATAACTCAGTCCCTTCTAAACAGAATCCTGCGTTTTCTGAGGAGTAACCTAGCTCAATCCTAACCTGATCAATAAAGTACTGTGACCTGGTCTTTAGGTCAAACGGAATCAACCCTAGGTTTTTGGAAACCCTAACTGAAGTTGCAGCTGCTATATATTCAACAGAGCTGCGGTTTTTCAAGGGATCCCTGCTGATTGATTAGAAGATCAATTTTGTAATCTGTATAGATTTGTTTATTGTACTCCAAGCAATTATCATTGTGATAAGTGCCTTGGAATAGGTTTCAATTGTAAGGGTTGTGTAGCACTCAAAGCTTTGAAGCAAGAGTGTTTGAATGTTACTTGACTAAAGCTGTGAAGCAGAGTCAAGTTAGTTGTGTACATCACTCAAAGCTGTGAAGCACGAGTGATTGTGTTACTTGATTAAAAAGCTGTGAAGCTTAATCAAGTGTGTGTTTTGAAGAGTGTCTTCATCAATTCTCAAGTCAAATTGGTTTATGTATCACTGCTGTGATTGAGGGGGTGTGAGTAGGAACTCAGGTTTAAGTTGTACTTAGATTAGAATTGCATTGGGTAGGTCTTAAGTGAAGGAGATAAACTGGTTGGTTTATTCCTGAATTAACATCTCTTATAGTGGATTCTCTCCCTGGCTTGGTAGCCCCCAGAGTAGGTGTTGTTGCACACTAAACTGGGTAAACAATTGACTGTGTTATTTACTGCTTTTGTATTTACTGTCATATAGTAAGTCAGATACGGTGTCATAACATTGGACGTGACATTGAGTATCTGTAGCCAGAATTTCAATTGGTATCAGAGCAGGCACCCTGCCTGTATTACTGGGTGAGATATAGGGATATCACTTTCTGGCACTATGGACAAAGAAGGAGTTTTTGGAAATAGACCACCCATTCTGGATGGAACTAATTATGACTACTGGAAACCTCGTATGATTGCCTTCCTAAAATCTCTGGACAAAAAGGCTTGGAGAGCTGCTGATAAAGGATGGATACATCCCACCATAACTGAAAGAGATGGGACAATCAGTCTGAAGCCTGAGGAAGATTGGAGTAAAGAAGAAGATGAGTTAGCTCTGGGAAATTCAAAAGCCTTAAATGCCTTGTTCAATGGAATTGATAGAAACATCTTCAGACTAGTACATCAACATGAACTGGCCAAGGAAGTTTGGGACACCCTCAAAACTACTCATGAGGGCACTTTCAAAGTAAAGATGTCAAGGCTTCAGATGTTGACCACTAAGTTTGAGAATCTAAAAATGATGGAAGATGAAACCATTCATGAGTTTCACATGAACATCTTGGAGATTGCCAACACCTCAGGAGCACTGGGAGAAAAAATGTCAGAAGAAAAACTGGTGAGGAAGATTCTCAGATCCTTGCCTAAAAGATTTGCAATGAAGGTAACTGCCATAGAGGAAGCCCAGGACATTAGCAAGTTAAAAGTGGATGAACTTATTGGGTCTCTTCAGACTTTTGAGATGGGGATCACTGATAATGGTGACAAGAAGAACAAAAGCATAGCACTTGTATCCAACACTGATGTTGAATACAAGGAGGATGAAGAAGAAAACATATCAGAAGCCATTGCCATGCTTGGAAGACAGTTCAACAGGCTCATCAAAAGAATGGACCCAAAGTCAAGGTCTAATGTTCATAACATTCCTTCTGACATTGACAGTTCCAGCAGAAGACCAAGGTCAGAAGATAAGGAAAACCAAGGCAGAGGTATTCAATGCCATGGATGTGAAGGATATGGACATATTCGAGCTGAATGTCCTACCTTTCTTAAGAAGAAAAAGAAAGGAATGACTGTTACTTGGTCTGACTATGATTCAGAAAGCAATTCTGAAGAAGAATCTGCCAAACTAGTTACTGCCCTAACTAGTGTTTGTACTTCTGAAAGTGACACCAGTGATGAAGAAGTAACATTTGAAGAACTGGCTGATACCTACAAGAAATTGTGTATCAGAAGTGGTGAAGTCTGTGTGCAAAATGAGAAACAATCAAAACTCATTGTAAAGCTGGAGGCTGAAAAGAGGGCAAATCTTGAAACTATAAGTCATTTAGAAGGAGAAGTTCAACTGCTGAACTCACAATTGAATCAAATGACCAAATCTGTCAAGATGTTGACCAATGGAACAGACAAATTGGAAGAG